TATTCTTCATTTTAAGAGCCATTACACGCACAGACAATTTGCAGGAATGTTTAGTAAGATCACAACACGTCTGAATTCCAAAGATAGTTGGTGTTGGTACTAAGACTACTAAGCGATAAACAAACTGTCAGTCATGACGCATCTCGAACCTCATTGGACACTCCGATGGACACACCCGAATACTTACGAAGTTAGACGAGTCAGTTTGACACGTAGAAATTCGATGCACTTTATTCCGAGAAAGCTGTTTTGTGAAAATTGGATTTACGAATTCTATTGAAATAGTTAATAAGATTTGTACGGTTTATTTTAGTAATATGTATACCGAATATCCTACATTTTATTTCCAATAACTTATGATGATTTTCGGAAATAATAAACAAAAATCAAAATCTCTTCACTAACAGCCTTTTATTTCTAACAGTTTCAAACTTTTGGTATAGTGTTCTTATCTCAATTATTTGCTTATTTCGCAGCTTTCAGAAAACCATCAATTCAGTTACAAGAAATGAGTAGATTTAAAAAAAAATTGTATTGATTGATATCTCGGAAACCGCTCATTTCCGACCACCAGTTGGTGGGAATTAATTTATCACAAATAACCTCTAGAATCACCACTTTCAGGGAATAGGTCGAATTTCCAATCACCCTGTGTATATAATTTCAATTTTAATTATTAATTGGGAAATTGGCAAACTTTAGGAGTAGATAGGGTTTGTACATGTATGTTCTGGGACGCCCTTGAGCGCCGACCTTCGGTGCCAAACGACCTTGAGAGCTGACCTTCGGTGCCAACCTTGAAATGTAACCTTGAAACGTGACCTTGAGTTTCCGAGTGACCTTGAAGTGTGACCTTGAGTTTTTCGAGTGACCTTGAAGGGTGACATTGAGTTTCCGAGTGACTTTGAAGTGTGACCTTGAGTTTTTCATGTGACCTTGAAGTGTGACCTTGAGTTTTCGAGCGACCTTGAAGTGTGACCTTGAGTTTCCGAGTCACCTTGAAGTGTGACCTTTAGTTTCCGAGTGACCTTGAAGTGTGACCTTGAACATATATGACCTCGATCACTCTCGACCTTGAGTGGGTGTGACCTTGTAGGAGTGAACGACCTTGAGATGTAGATGGGATGACCTTGGAAATATATGCTTAAATTGTGGAACTTGCCGAGAGAAGTCAGTTCTGTAGTTGCAAGTGGTGCAAATGGTACGGTACTAGTGGGATGCAGAATATAATATTGGCGAAGAAAAGTAGGTGTTTAGTCTGTCAAACGGAGAAACTATTGAAGCATGCAAAGGAGTTTCGCTTCATTCGTAGGTGGTGTTGTTGCGAGACATTTTTAGTTTATTGTTGGACATGTACTCAACACCGTCCCCATAAAATAGGGTGGATCTTCGAAACGCATGACGAAAATCAGTGGTGTTGGAACCGGGACTCGACATAGAAGTAATGTCAGTAGGGAGCGGATTCCTAATTAAATGGAGTGAGCTGCAAGATGGACATAGAGTGTGATATCCATATGAATTGATATATGAAAGAAGTGTAATAAGTAATGCATATGTAGAATGGAGCGTGTGTCAAGAAAGTTATGCGAGGGGTGTAGAATGGAGCGAAGACCGTTGTCAGCAATATTACTACATCAGTACCACAATGATGGGATCAATAGTATGTGAGAGGTGTATCATAGGAGCAAGGTATGCCCTATTGAGTATATACGACGGATATGTGAATAAGCTCCACATATATACATAGTAAGAACTTAGCAAAGTGTTTGTACTGCGAAAGGCGAATAGCATCGAATAGTAAACGTAAGTGTGACAACAGTCCGCTGGGAGGCAAGCATCTGTATTGCAGCCGAAGAAAGAAAATAGGAACGTTAGGAGGAAAAGAAGATAGAGTGTGAAGGTAAGTGAAGGAAAAAAAATGTGTGGATAAGTTGAGAGAATAATGAGTGTAAGGTTGTAGAAGCAAGATAGATAGCTAAAAAATTCAAAAAATCGGTCATTTAAGAGAAATTAGAGTGAAAAACGTGAATTAAAAAAATAGGGGTGGCAACCCTCAGTAGGGGGAACAAAAAATTTGAAGTCCAGTCTTGGAATGGACTTAGTACACTTGCAATCGATCGCGGAAAAAGTATACAAAAAATTATATGAATAATCTTGAACATGACTCCATAAACGTGATTGAAAATGAATTGCATAAGCAAACAACGCTCAAAATAAATATGGAACTTTTTGGTTTATATATCTTACCAGCTAAAAGCCGACGAGAGGTGAAGTCCCACAATACAAACAATGTAATCATAACACAATCATCAAATTTAAAAGCAATCTATCATGATTTGGAAAGTAAAATAGAGCAAAAATCTAAAGATTTTGCAGAAAAAGACTCATCGTGGGTGTTAGAAAAGATTTTATATTTAGAAATTAATATTAATAAATATAATCCTTTGAGAGCAGCATCATATTTGCCGCTTCCAAAGGAAATTAGGAACAAAAAAGCAGTACTCAATATACGTAATAACGATGAATACTGCTTTGCATGGTCAATTGTAGTTGGTATGGTAAAACCAAAATATATCAATCAACGTTTATGGATTAGAAAAGGAATTCATTGATGGGAAGCCTAAATATCAGGTGGTGGGACCGTTACACTACACCGCGCAAAAACAACAAACTCATCTAAACTTATTACTTATTGATGATTCAGAAGGAAACCATCATTACTGCTTAATTACCAACTTTTCAAGACACGTTTCAAGTCAGTTGTCGCGGAATACGAGAGTAAAGCACTTTTGTGATGGGTGTTTACAATACTTTGCCTCAAAAGAAAAATTAGAAATTCACATGCGAACCTATTGCAAATATATTTCAGTTAAGCTTCCGAAATTGGAAACGAGAGTTGATCGACTTGGAAACACGGTAATGGATAATGTATTAAAATTTGAACAGCATCACAAACAATTAAGGCTACCATTTTGCGTTTATGCCGACTTTGAATGCATTCTAGCTCCGATAGAAAATGACTCAAGCGATTCAGAGGATGTATGTACCATCAGAAAGTATGAACATAAACCATCCTCATTTGCTTATTACATCAAATGGTCATTTAATGATTCACTATCCAAACTGGAACTATATAGCAAAAATGTTTGTTACTCGATTAGAAGCTGATCTTAAATTAATATATTATCAATATTTAACACAAAATGTAGAAATGAAAATGACTACGTACGATAAAGCTTTGTTTAATAAAGCAGAATCATGATTCATTTGTGAACAACCATTCACCAATACAAATATAAAAGTTAGGGATCACTGTCATTTCACAGGGAAATATCGTGGTGCGGCGCATAGTAAATGCAATCTCAATTATAAGACTCCGAACTATATTCCAATATTTTTTCCACAATTTGAAGAACTATGACGCTCATCTATTCATAAAACACTTAGCTATGAATCAAGAACAAATTAAAGTGATTCCACAATCTTTTGAAGGATATGTGTCATTTACAAAATTAGTACCGGTAGACACGTACATTTCCCAAGAGGGAAAACAAAAAACCGTATTTTTGCAAATGAGATTTGTCGATTCATATCAGTTTCTGTCGTCAAAATTAGAAACATTGGCATCCCTTTTAAGCACAGAGCAATGTCGGACAGTACGAAAAGTGTTTCCCGAGGACGAAAGATTCTCCTACATGAGATGTAAAGGTATATTTCCCTATACATATATTAAAACATTTGATAAATACAATGAAACATGTTTACCATCCCAACAAGACTTTTATGACGAAATACGTGATGAACACATTGCAGACGAGGATTATGAGCGGGCACATCATGTTTGGGAAGTAATGGGGTGTAAAAATTTGGGGGAATACTCGGACTTTTACTTGACTTCGGATGTTCTTTTTTTAACAGATATCTTTGAAAATTTTAGAGATTTGTGTTTAAAAACGTACAAGCTGGATCCAGCTCACTATTTTACAGCTCCTGGTTTGAGTTGGGATGCAATGCTACGATATACTAAAGTAGAGTTAGAGCTGCTTACAGATGTGGATATGGTACATTTTTTTAAAAAGGGGATTCGTGGAGGAGTCAGCACATGTACCTCACGGAAAGTCGAGGCGAACAATAAATTTTTACCTCATTACGATCTATCAAACGCATCATCGTACTTAATATACCTTGATGCGTCGAACTTATATGGATATACGTATACTATGCAGCTGTACCTACCGACGGGTCATTTTGCTTGGTTAACGCAACATGAGATGGATAGGATTCAAGAAATAATTACACAAATTTCAGATACATCGGATATTGGATATGCATTAGAAGTTGATTTAACAATACCGAATGAGCTTCATGATTATTTCAATGATTTACCATTTTGTCCAGAAAATTTTAAACCACCCAACAGTCAAAGCTCAAAATTAATTCCAAATTTACACAACAAAGAGCGCTACATTATCCATTATCGTAATCTAAAACAATGTTTGAAACATGGTATTATCTTGACGAAAATTCATAGAGGTATCAAATTCACACAAGCAGCGTGGTTAAAGTCCTATATACTGTTAAACACGGCACTTAGAAATGCCGCACTGAATCCGTTTGAAAGAGATTTGTTCAAACTAACGATCAATTGTATATTTGGCAAAACGATTGAAAACATGGAGAACAGAGTCAATATCAAATTAGCGACTCAATTTGAAAAATCGAAACACAAAATAGGTGCTGAAAATTATATTAGTAAACCAACTTTTAAAGAACACAGAATATTTTCTGAAAACTTAGTAGCTATTCAAAGGGAAAAAACAATGATTGATTATTGCCGTCCCACATATGTTGGATTTTGTATTTTAGATGTCTCAAAAACGGTAATATATGACTTTTTCTATAACTTTCTGAAGCACCAATATAGTAATAAGGTGACCTTGGCATACACGGATACTGATTCGTTAATAGTACATGTTGAAACCGATAATTTCTATGAAGACATGAAATCACACATGCATTACTTTGACACATCCAATTATGATGCTGACAACCCACATAACATGCCTCGAACAGCGTCAGAGTTGGGTAAGATGAAAGACAAATATGGTGGCAAGGTACTGTCTGCCTTTTATGGTACAGGTCCCAAAGCATACTGTATCGATGCTGTAGATCAAGTGGCTAAACGAGCTAAAGGTATATCTAAGGCGAGTGTGACACATCAATTACATTTGTTACATTATAAAGATATTGTTGAGGAGAAACGGACATCTGTGTACTGTACGATTTATGTATTTAAATCGGAGTCGCACAATATATACACAAATTATATAAGAAAAGTGGCATTGACCAGTATGGATGATAAACGTTTCTTGATACCAAACTCAACAAAGACATTACCTTGGGGTCATCAAGGTATGACCTTTCATAACATGTCGGACGAAGAGCGGTTGGAACTCTTGCTGCGCTTAATGAACGAAGCCAGTGAGTTGACTAGTGATCAGATGAAATGATCAGAAATTTGAGCTTTGTGGTGGGGACAAGAATATAAATATATGCTTTACCCACTCACCTTCTGCAGTTTTAAAGATGAGTACCAAGACATACTATTCACTGTTCATGCAATTATGTCATGTAACTGAAGAGGTGTTAAAAAAACAGCTCCGACAGTTTGTGTCTCAAAATCCAGAAAAACGAGTATTTCCAGTGCTGAGTTTTGTACTGGAGGAAATTACAGTACCCGACGAAGTATTCAGCTGGATTGCAAATGCAGATAGTTGCCACCCCGATGTGCTTTCCAGTGTAATAACAAGAAAGAAACATCTTGACTGGGTGGTACAGGAAACGCTGCAAAGTCTAAAGGATACAGGTTGTGAGGTTTTAAGCATCAAAGAATTTGGAGACCTGCTGACGAACATGCACTCCACACCATCAGCATATGAACAATACTATTTGTGTAAGTTGTTATCTGACAGTAACTATGAAGATGTAGATAAACCACATCCTGTAGAAAATATTACTAAGAGATATAAAGACACTGTATCCCATATCGATGAAACCATATGTAAAATTGCATATATGGCTTATTGTGCATCACTGAAGAGTCTAATCGATGTGATACAGCAGCATGATATTAAATTTGTATTTGATATAGAAAATAAGATAAGACATTATACTGTATTTAAATGGTTAAAGAAAAACGTAGCTAAAGGTAACATTGGAGATAAGTCACTAGGATGGAGTTCTGGACCATGTGGTGTGAAATAGCCATCCACCAAATTTGAAGATTATGTGTTGCATGTTTGAGTGTCTTATGCGATTTATCCAAAACGCAATAATACTTGCTGTGTTGTATGACAGAAATATATGATAAATAAATATATCTTCATGAATGGTAGTATCATTTTCCATTGCACCTGCGCCAATTTTTGAGAGGGGAGTGTTTGTGAGTGGAGGGAGTATCGACACTGTATAAGAGTAGCTACTCAGCATCACATACCAGTCTTCTACATTTCACATAGTGTTACAACATGAGTAGTGCCGGTGGTGTCAAACACGTTGCACATGTGCAGAACGACAAAGGGGTACGATCTGTACAAAGTGGTGTAGCTCAGCCACCGTTAATTGTCATCCAGGAGCAACGCTATCCTCTAAATCCATCTAAATCAAAATGGATTACGATTGGGCGAGCATATCAGTGGAGCTTCCAACCTGTACTCAATATCAAGGGTTTAAAAACCGAGGGCGTTACGTTAAATGAAGAAGACTGATATGAAGTATTGAATCAAGAAGGCAGTATAACCAATTTTTCCTTCAGTGATGATATTTTCCATCCGATCCAAGGTAACTCCTTCTGTATCAGCTTTGATAGATTTTCAGATTATCAAACCATCAAAATTGAAGATCGGTGGAGTAATGTAGTTTATTTGGGTAAAGAGACCGTATTGAAGTTATTTCAATTAGCCCCGCTGATTGCCTATACGATGAATATGTTGAAAACTCAGGAGTTCCAAAAATATTTTACCACACTCGTCCAGGATGTACAAACCAAGCACATAGATGTGCGAGACTTCATTATGCAACACATCTCTGATTTGCCGCATTCGGAGAACATCAGGACTGCTATGGAGCTGGCACACCAATATCCAAACTTGAAGGAATTCAACAAGGCTCCAACACTGAACTTTTATTCAAATTACTTATCCTAACTATTCTCAGTATATTTGTAATAAAAATCTTATATTACGTAGAGTGTTTTATTGAAAAAAAAGTTTGCTATAGAAATGATTAGAGAAAATAGAGGTACATTTATCATACAAGTAAATCACTTTTGTTAATCCACGAATGAACCGGTTCCACATCCGATTCTTTAAAGTCCGATTCACCCTTTCAACCACACTTGCTTTGGTCGATGAGTACGTGCTGTAATGATTAATTTTGTACTCTTCCATCAACTTCGTAAAATCACTATTGTAGAATTCTTTACTGTTTGTAAATTTTTTGGAATTGACTTCATGTGCGACAGAATCGCCTTCATTGCAGTTGTAACATATTTTCCGGTTTTTCGTTTGACTGGTTCTGCCCACACAAATTTACTAAAAACGTTGATGACAATTAAAATATATCGGCATCCTTTGTTCACTTTCTGATACGGAAGCATTTCCACCAAATCTGCCTGCAAGAGATCGTTGACCCCCTTCACAATAACGCGCCGATGTCTATAATTACGGCGAGCTGGTTTATGAAGTTCTTCAAGAACCTGCTTTCTAAAGTCGATCATTGTTGTATCAATGGACAGCGCATTACAATATTTGCTATAAGCTGCTCTTTTCTGGGTTCTTTAGATGTGAAGAAATGGAGAATATCACCTTTCGTGAGAGGTGTGTTGTCGGTGAGACTATTTAAACCAATTGTCACTCTTACTTTTGGCGGAACATTTATACTATCAACGATCCCAGTCACAGGAACGATATATAGTCCTTGCTATTGTTGTTAAATGTGTAAAACTGCTCGCTGGATGTGGAGGAATAAATGGGTACCACACATACGCTGGATAGGTTGGATCTTAGAAAAGTACTGAAGATTGCAGCAGTGTCCGTCTTCTTTGAGCGGAGAATATGTCTTCCAAATTTATCTATCGGCATCTTGATCCTACAACTGCAGCAATGTAAATAAAGTAATATTACGTTACAAATTCATTTTATAATTTTTAATTCACGTAACTCCTCAATTATAGACATAATCTTGTTACGATGTCCATTATTGAAGCTAACAACAGACGTAAACGAGCAACCAATTCATTTGGATCATCAAAATAGATGTAGTCGATTGGTTTATTTGATAAGTGGAGCATTCCTTGACCTGTATGTTTGAATGAGTGTGTTCGTCGTAACTGACTCTTAGGAGGTGGAGGTTTCTCAAAGGAGCCGGATCTGAGTATACCCTGCTGGTTTAGAATGTTATGCTGATGTAAGTATGGTCAAATTATATTTCGATATTTGTAGGACGTACTACCCTGTATTTGAATATTAGGTTCAAAATTTCTGCGATATGCATTTGTGCGACTTAGACTATCCATATACTGATCTATATCACTCTGCTTATAACCAATTGGTTCTTTTTTGAAAAGCAGTTCATATAATCCAGGTGTGCCAGGATATGTTACATTTTCCACCACGATATTTGCTCCGTCTAGCGTAACCGGACTTTTACCGAGTTGAAACTTGTCAGAAACAATATCATGTGTTAATCCATAATAACGATCAAACTCGCGCTCGTTCCCACGAATTGACTCATCAACATATTTTCGAGGTACAGGGTGAAAACCTTCAAGATACTCTTGTTATGCAGGTGTATCAATTAGTTGGTGGAATTCTTGCGCCACTCGAGCCAGGCTTTCATTGATTTGCTGGTTTTCTGCCACCAACACCGTAGCATTTGGAGTAAATTCTTCAACGGTAGATACATCTTGACTGCGAGTTGGCTCCAGAAGGTTTGAATATGTATCCTCGAGAAAGCTGTAGTTGACAGGTGGTAAATATCGTTGGTATAAATTTTCTGACAATTGTTTATTGAATGATTGTCGTTTCTTCGGTGTGGATGTCACTGATGGGGGTGTAGATTGTTCTTCTTTGATCTGCAATTCTTGTTTAGGTGCTTCAACTTTTGATAAGAGTTTTTGCAACGGTTCTGAGATCGGCTTAAACTGTTGCTGTAATTCCCTTTCCGTTGCTGCAATTATCTGATTCAAGTGTGAGATACTTTTGTTTAACCGCTTTCCTGGTTTTGACTAGTTCTTTGGCCAGTTTTGGATCCATCTGTCTACCTTCGATGTTATATAAGTACTACCCTAAGATTTGCACAGAGTATAGTTATATATATATATATTACTGTTACACATTTATGTTGCTGCTAAAACACCTTCTATACCTGCCTCCCTGTCTTGGATAATCTTTATCAACCACTACAAAGCTATGTGGCTCTTGCCAACACAAACTGCACAAGCTTTTAAATTCATTAAATGACATGTCTAGGCTGATATGATCATCATAGATATGTTTCAGATTCAAATTGTCTTGAGGAAATAGTATGAGTAGGTTTATGTTATCCCTTAAATTATGTTTGGGTGCGGCAGTATACGTTTGACAAAGATAGAAACAGTCTGTATTACGATGACGTCCAAAACTGAAATATTGTCTTATTATATCCTGATTACATGATGAAACGTCGTCAAAAATTATTACAGAGTTTGGTTTAATGTTTTCTGGTGTCGCAATCTTTGCATCTTCACTGTATTCATAATACCCTATTTCGCGAAGCGGTGTTAGTAGTTCTCGTAAATATTTGTACTTGGGTTGGTACATCGACTTGCAGTACAGATAAACGTTCTCAAATCTCAATCCATTAGGATGTGTTAACAAACTGATCATTACATTAGTTTTACCAGATCCGCTTGGGCCTACAACTAACGCGCGTTTAGACGTACCATTGAATAGGTTACCATGTTTTCTAAGAGCACCTTCCTGTGCAAGTCCATCAAAATTCATCACAGGAACTGGTACGGCTGATGGTTCGATCTTCATTCTGATGGCCTATAAATTGTACTGACATCAATACTTCTAGCACAGTCTACTATATATCTGAGAACCGTTACTTGCTAGAAGCATATAAAATGACTGCATTCCGTGCGAGGAGAAACAGTCACAAACCGACCGTTACAGTGCGTGGTACGGGTTTCATAAATAAACTTATCCATAAACTACGACTTGAATTGCACATCCCGAGATATAATTTCTGTGGACCTGGAACAAATTTAAAGCCACGCATTGAGAGAGGTGATACCGGAATTAATCGCTTAGACGAGGCCTGTAAGCAGCACGATCTGGTTTACGCTACCTCCAAACAAAGTGACATTCATCGTAAAGCCGATAACCTCTTAATTGATCACGCCCTCAAGCGGGTTGCTGCATCGGATTCATCGCTTGGTGAAAAAGTAGCTGCACTGGGTGTCTCA